TAATATATTAACTTACAGGACCTAGTCCTCATTATCTGCTTTTTATTTTAATAGCACCCAAAAGTGTGCTTACATCTCCTAATATGGATAAGCTTACAAAGAAAGGGCCGTATCCTGGAGATACTTATGTACTTGAATAAATAGGCATGTACAAATCTTAAGGGATTGTTGGTGTGAATAAAATAACTTTCATGCATATTCTATGTATGATCAGAGTGTAATTGCAGATAAGATATGAGAGGAGGGAGGCGTCAGGGAAAAGAGAAACATCCAGTAAGACTGTCTGGGTCCACAGTTACTAGTGCACAGCATGATGAAGCAAAAAAAAAAAGGGGGCACACAATGAATAATTGCCTACAAGAAACTTGCCTTGGCAAACTGGGCTCTTGAGGAGGGAGTATAGCTTTGGAGAATGCCTCAAGGAGGATGTTCATGCATAGGCCGTGACAATGAAAAGAATGAAAATGACTCTGGGAGAAGTGGCCAAATGGTGCATTCTGGCTGCCCTCCTAGATGGGATGTAGAGCATGTGGGTGGGCATACAGAAAGATCAAAGCGCATCTGTAGAGAGATTTTGTTTCACAGGGACCCGAAAATGGTGACACAAAGTTTGGCTGTAGACGATGGATCGTGTGGTGTGGTCAGGGTGAAAGCTGGAGGCATGTAGGTAGGAATAGCGGTCAGTAGGTTTCCGGTATAGGGTGGTGTTTATGTGACCATAGTTTATTAGCACTGTAGTGTCCAGGAAGTGGATCTCTTGTGTGGACTGGACTAGGCTGAGGTTGATGGTGGGATTCCTCAAGGGCTTCTTTTCCATGGGTCCAGATGATGATGATGTCATCAATATAGCGCAAGTAGAGTAGGGGCGTGAGGGGACGAGAGCTGAGGAAGCGTTGTTCTAAGTCAGCCATAAAAATGTTGGCATACTGTGGGGCCATGCAGGTACCCACAGCAGTGCCGCTGATCTGAAGGTATACATTGTTCCCAAATGTAAAATAGTTATGGGTAAGGACGAAGTCACAAAGTTCAGCCACCAGGTTAGCCGTGACATTATCGGGGATAGTGTTCTTGACGGCTTGTAGTCCATCTTTGTGTGGAATGTTGGTGTAGAGGGCTTCTACATCCATAGCGGCCAGGATGGTGTTATCAGGAAGATCACCGATGGATTGTAGTTTCCTCGAAGTCAGTGGTGTCTCGAAGGTAGCTGGGAGTGCTGGTAGCATAGGGCCTGAAGAGGGAGTCTACATACAATCCTGCTGTCAGGGTGCCAATGCCTGAGATGATGGGGCGCCCAGGATTTCCAGGTTTATGGAGCTTGGGTAGTAGATAGAATATCCTAGGTCGGGGTTCCAGGGGTGTGTCTGTGCGGATTTGATCTTGTGCTTTTTCAGGGCAAATGCTGTAATTTCTTTTGGTAAGTCTCAGTGGGATCAGAGGATAATGGCTTGTAGAAAGTGGTGTTGGAGAGCTGCTGAGTAGCCTCTTGTTCATATTCCGACCTATTCATGATGACAACAGCACCTCCTTTGTCAGCCTTTTTGATTATGATGTCAGAATTGTTCCTGAGGCTGTGGATGGCATTGTGTTCCACATGGCTGAGGTTGTGGGGCAAGTGATGCTGCTTTTCCACAATTTCCACAGACTGGGGGTGGCTAAGTCATTATGCAAAGTAACCTATTTCCCCTTGTTTTTTCCTACCCCCCCCCGACGTTCTTGTTAAACCCTGGATTTGTGCTGGAGATGGCCCACCTTGATTATCATACACATTGTAAGGAGAGTGATCACTTTAGATAAGCTATTACCAGCAGGAGAGTGGGGTGGGAGGAGGTATTTTTTCATGCTTTGTGTGTATATAAAAAGATCTTCTACACTTTCCACAGTATGCATCCGATGAAGTGAGCTGTAGCTCATGAAAGCTTATGCTCAAATTGGTTAGTCTCTAAGGTGCCACAAGTACTCCTTTTCTTTTTGCGAATACAGACTAACACGGCTGTTACTCTGAAACATGTTAATAGCTGTATTTGTCCCAGGAGATGAGACAAAGTTGATGATAATGTCTTTTACTGAATCAACTTGCATTGGTGAAATGGACAAATTTTTGAGCTCTTTCTCAGGTCTGGAGAAAGTAACTAGAACCTCTGCTAATTAACTGCATGCTCATCCTGTTAAGTCTTACACCTGTGCTCTGTTACATTTTAACCTGTGCTGTACCTTCTCTTAGGGTTTTGCACACTTGTCACTTTCAGCTGTTAGTCACTAACAAAAACAATGAGTTCAACATGGCTCATGGCCCATAAGTAAGTTAGTTTTTTGTGAAGGGTGGTGCATGGTGGAAAGTTCAAGGCAATAGTGATAGAAAAATCTGACCTGAGATCACTGAGTGGTGGTGGTTATGTATAGCAGTAGGTGCATATGATCTAAGCTTTTACCTTTTGGAAGGCCTGGTTTGAAATATTAACAAATAGCTGATGCTTCAAAGACCAGCCTTTCACCCTGGCAATACAGCTAGCCAAATGTACAATTCTGTATGCAGGCCTGGAGATTAAGTTTTCCCCTGTGACCTCCAGGTTTATATCTTGAATTATGTGGAGAAGACCAAAAATAAATCTGCCTATAAGCAACCTGACTTATACCTTTTTCTTTAGCTAATGAGATTGCTACTCTATTGCATCCTCTTCAGGTTTTGTTTAGAGCAGCAAAGAGCGGGGGGTGGTCCCTAGGTTGCATCCATACACTTGCTGTGCTGGTGATCTAGGCGATCCCAGGATAGCTGTTGGTTATAGACAAGAAAATATCTATCCTTCTAAAATGCAGCTCTTCACTAAATCTCTGGGATGCATAGAGAAGACTAAATGGCACAGTTATTTCTCTTTTGGTATATATTCTTATCTTAGACTTCAGGTTTGATATAATTAGGGGTAAAGGGGCAGTGGGGGGGGAGGGGAAGAGCATGGTTTTGAATAATAATGATGTAGTTAGTGGGGAGGCAGGAGGCTTGGTCTTTGACCATGTTGGCTTACAGTTACGACTTGAGTGCTTGATTTAGTATTTGTCTCAATGCCATTATTTGCTTGAATCTTGTGGGTGTTTCCTGTTGGCTGGAGTACTGATAAGAAGCTCAGTGTTGTACAGAACATGCACTAGACAAGGTCCCATAGCTTTGTTAGGATGCTTGGATACCACTGTGATAAGCACAGAACTACTTAGCTAGGTAGATGGAAGGACATTATTTCAGACAGACCTTTAAAGCGATACTTTTTTTAGCATCAACGTTCAGGAATATGTTCATTATCCGTATCCTTCCTTGTGTTTTTTTTTTTTGGGCTTGTCTGTTCTCATAAGCAGCACTTTCCTCTGTAACCTGCATGAGGGACTGTAGTTTGTTTCAGTGAGCAAAATTCTTAAATCAATATATTGGCCACCAAAAACAAATATTCTTCACTATGAACTTAATGACTTCTCTATTGGGCCTCTCTAGCACAAAGTAAAAGGGGGGGAGGAGGAGGCTTCCAATCCCCCCCCCCCCAGCCACATAACGTTGCTCTCTTTCAATTTTCTGTTCTCATTGTCTTCTTTTCCCATTCCTCTTCTACCCCTCCTATGCCTACCTGCTGGTGATGTCAGGTTCCTCCTTCTGAGGCCTTACAGAGGGATTGGAGGTTCCTTCCCCCTCTCACAGAGGAGGGATGGTTCTCTTGGCAGGGGTAGCAAAGTTCTTCCTCCTCTGACTGGGAGATGTCTGACAGAAAATTCCCTCCACTTCTTCATTCCTTCATGGTGAGGGGACTGAAGGGCAGGATTGCTGCTGACGTGATCTGTTGTCTCATGCTAAATCAGAACATCTTTTGTAAGTGCTGCTTGGAGTCTTAGTCACAGCTTGGTACTGAGAAACATCCAAAATGGAGCACGGAATCAAGTGCTCTCACGGCACCAACTGGGGAGTCACTAGGCCTTCACATGGGACTGAGGAAGGGGGAGAATTAACCTCCTTCTATTTTTCATTTGTCCAGTTTTAATTTCATTTTTAATTTCCATCAACTTAATCTCTTCTCTCTCCCGCCACTCCCAAATTCCAATACATCCAGTTTTGGGGTTTATTTCACTACTTGCTATTTTACATACTGCAAGAAGAAATAGTTTATACCCCTAGACAGCTAAAGAGGGACTAACGTGACTTAGTATTCTTGAGTTTGAAGTACTCCTATACTGAACCTCTGTAGAGCCAGCTGATCAAAGAACTAAACCTAGTAAAAATGCCATCCTGGGTTTTTGATGTGACTGCCTAAGCTTCTGCACACCTCTGACCAGGCAATGTCTGTAGATCATATAGTGATTAAGGTCATTTAAAGGTGTTCTTTAAAAAAATGTGGGCGGGGAATAAATGTTGATTCCTGAAGGCTTACAGCACAGACTGTGACCATGTTTGTTCCAGGGCTCTATCCAGTATGCATGAATTGGGGAAAGCATTCTTCCCTCCTTCCCCCCTCCCCCTCCCCCAACTGCTTTACCTCCCCTCAAACTCCCTGCCTTGGTGAAAATGAAATGAAACAAAATTTGCACTCTCTGAAGTTAGGGAGCTGGCCAGAGACTAAAGGGCGAGTTGTGCCTTCCTTAAAAGTAGGATCAGGGCAGAATAGGCACACTGGACAACTTAAGATATCTCAAAACTGTTTAAAGAGTCCTATTTTTGGAATATTTTATACTAGATACACAGCCAGTGCACACCTGAGGGTGGAAGGAACTTCTGATTATTCAGTCCTTCTCTGCGCTTATGAACATGTACTGTGGCAATCTTCAGCTAAGGGCCTTGAAGCCTAGAAAGCAGCCTGTGGTTAAACCATTTAAAAACAAACAAACCTATAACCTTCTGACTTGCTGCATGTTTGCTCTTTCCTTTTGAGCACTTATTTCTCTCTGATGGAAAATGCTTGCGAATAGTCTTTCTGATTTAAATTTCTGAATTTTCCTGTGTAATATTTTAATTTTATTCCTTTTGCTAGCGGGCCTGCCTTTTGCAATTCTCACTGCGAGGCATATCCCCTTCCAGAGAGGAGTTTTCTGTAATGATGAATCCATCCAGTACCCTATCAAAGATGACACCATTTCTTATCCATTGTTAGCAGGAATAATTGTTCCTTTCAATGTAATCGTTGTAAGTTAAACCTATTTTTCTCCATTACATTCAATTTAAGTAGGTGGGAGTGGGGGGTATGAATGATTTACTACTAGATTAATACATTGGTAAAGCAGTGCATCCTTCTTAAAAACAAGGATAAACCCCATTGTCCTTATTCCAAGTGGAGTTAGAGTAACGTAAGTGGTGTTTGGGTCAGGGTACCTAAAGGAATTTATTAATTGGGGCCAATAAGAAACCTACCAGAGAGCGAACACGTTGGTATGACAGTGACATACATATTTCGATTATAGATGTCTTATTCACATTTCAGGCATTGCAGGACTAATGTCTCCTTTTCATAATTGCGAATATACATGTTAAACCAGAAAGTAAAATGTACTGCAACCTTGTATGTTATCTGAGAGTGTCTCTAAAATATCAGAGCTTGAGGCAACCGCTTCAATTTAAGTAATAATTTGCCACCCAGTGGTCTGATGCTTCTATATAGAGAAACAAAGCTGTAAATTCTGACTTCTGAAGAGTAAAACACAGTGGCTACCAGTCAGAATTGATTGCAAACAGTAGCTTGTAGAATAGTTATAACTTAATTTACACCAAATAAGCAGGATGGGTGAATAAGAGTGGGTTCTTCAAGTACTATTACATTGGGTATTTTGTTTACATCAAGAGTAGAATTTGGCTTGATGTAAAAGACTACCATCAGCATAAATAGTTATAACCCTGGTTATAGTTAACGCTGCCTGCTCTAGAAGCAGTTTAAGGCTTTTAACAGTTTTAAAGCAAGGCTCATGAAACTCCCTTAAATTTTTTGTCCAGCTTAAATGTGGCTGTGTAGTCGCAGCACCAGCTCTGGGAGAGAGCTCTCCCAGTGTTGTAAAAAAACCCACCCTTACGAGGGGAGTAGCTCCCAGTGCTGAGAGCACTATCTACACTGCCACTTTACAGCGCTGAAACTTGCAGCACTCAGGGGTGTGTGTTTTCACACCCCTGAGCGAGAAAGTTGCAGCACTGTAAAGTGGTAGTGTAGACAAGGTCTTAACAATTGACTGAACGAGAAGTAGGACTGAGTGGACTTGTAGGCTCTAACGTAGTACATTGTTTTGTTTTTGAGCGCAGTTATGTAACCAAAAAATCTACATTTCTAAGTTACACTTTCACGATAAAGAGATTGCACTACAGAACTTGTATGAGGTGAATTGAAAAATACCATTTCTTTTATCATTTTTACAGTGTAAATATTTGTAATAAAAATAATATAAAGTGAGCACGGTACACATTGTATTCTGTAAAAAGAAAAGGAGTACTTGTGGCACCTCAGAGACTAACCAATTTATTTGAGCATAAGCTTTCGTGAACTACAGCTCACTTCATCGGATGCATACTGTGGAAAGTGTAGAAGATCTTTTATACACACAAAGCATGAAAAAATACCTCCCCCCACCCCACTCTCCTGCTTATCTAAAGTGATCACTCTCCTTACAATGTGATCACTTTAGATAAGCAGGAGAGTGGGGTGGGGGGAGGTATTTTTTCATGCTTTGTGTGTATAAAAGATCTTCTACACTTTCCACAGTATGCATCCGATGAAGTGAGCTGTAGCTCACAAAGCTTATGCTCAAATAAATTTATTAGTCTCTGAGGTGCCACAAGTACTCCTTTTCTTTTTGCGAATACAGACTAACACGGCTGTTACTCTGAAACCTGTATTCTGTGTTGTAATAGAAATCAATATATTTGAAAATGTAGAAAAAAATCCAAAAATATTTAATAAATTTCAACTGGTATTCCATTGTTTAACAGTGCGATTAATCGTGATCAATTTTTTTGAGTTCATCATGTGAGTTAACTGTAATTGATGGACAGCTGTAGCCTTTTGGTCCTTTGTAAAGCACAAGTATGTTCTTGAAATGCTTGAATTAAAAACTGCATATGTCTCAAGGTGCTCTAAATTAAAATCTGAAAGAGTATAGATAAATATAAAGCTTAGAATTGTGAAACTCACTTTTTTTGAGTTGATAAATTGTTAAAGGTAAAAGGGACCATTATGATCGTTTTAGTTTTTTAGCGTACATAAGAGTCCCGCATAAAACTTTACTTTTAGTTGCACCAGCACATTATTTTTTGGTAGTATAAAGATCTCCTCCAATCTTCATCTTTAAGATAAGTGTCAGAGCTGGGACTAGTGGCCAGGTTTGCCATCTTCCAGTCCAGCACCTTACCACCTGGACCTTTCCTGCTGCTCTAGAAGCACACCTTTTGAGTATGGGACCACTCCATGCTTAACTTAAAGCATGTGCATTTGTGGGAGGTTTTGTGTGTGGCGGGGGAGGAGGGGTAGGGTAGGGAGCCCCTTGATGAGAAGGACTTCTGGACACTGATAAAACATCATTTCTGGCAAACTTGTAAAGTAGCAGGTTTTTTCTGATCCATTTTCTAGTGATGTCAGCAGCCATCTTATAAGGGGGTGAACAACTTCCCACCAGATTGTTTTTTTTTTTTTTTTAAACCGGCTTAGCAGGAGGAAGCACTAATGTTATAACCAAATTATGGTGTCTTGGCTTTTTTCTGGTGCTGTTAATTTCTCCTCAGATTGTGTATACCATTTACTAAAGTGGTTCCAGGGCCCTGCTCTGATTTCTCTTTACACTGATGTAGCCCCATTAACTTCAGTGGGTTTCTAGTCCTCAGCAGGATGAGATCAGAATCTCAGCCAGTGTCCACAATAAGATAACCTTTACTTGCTTTCACAAATAGTCACTTTTTGAAAGCCACTGCCACCAGCTGTTCAAGAACTGCTCATTGTAATATAAATCTTCCCCCCCCCCCCATATGCAACTTGTTGGCTGTGTGAGGAGAAACTTTTTGCTAAGAGCTTTCAAAACCCTGGACTAAACTCTGCTCTGTTTAGCTGGTGTAAATCGAAGTAACTCCTTTGATTTTTAATGTCTTTTAGTGGCACAGGGAACAGAATTTGAGCTGCCAGCACAAAGCAAAATGAGTACAGCTTTCATTAAATACAACCTTCATCTTTAATATTTAAGTCGTGTGTGTGTGTGTTATCCTAACTTAAATAAAAGGGGGTTTTAAACCTATAACTGGAGTGCCTTTGTGTGTTTGTATGTAATAACACCCTGTACTTCGCTCCCTCTTCCCCATGGGCCCTCTGTGCCCCATGCTCACATACTTTCACACAAAGGCCCCCAGTCAGTCACCATCCTTCCAGATAAAGATGGGGTCTCTGAGGGTCTGATCCAGCACCAATTTGAGTCCATGGAAAGGTTCCCAACTGACTTCAGTGGACATTTGGACCAGGCCCCTAAACAGCACTACTGGGCCTTTCTTTACTGGTTCCCAGAATCAGTCAAATTCTCAAGTACATGTCTGACTTCTAGCATAGAAGTAGTTCCATTTCTGAAGTTAGACGCTTGCTTAAGTACATTGCTGAAGTGGGGCCTGTTCAAGGAAATGCTGCATAGCATTTCCAGCCCAGGACAATCAGACAGCAAGACACACAGTCTGGGAATTGCAATAATGCTTTACTTGTATTATAGCAATTTGAAATACATTTTCTTTTACAGGGTGATACATTACTATTGTAGTAGTAATTGGCTTCTGAAATATTGGGGCTACAATTCACAGATGGTAAAATGTGAGGGAAGAGTCTGTTTTTGAAGGGTTTTTTTTGTTCTTGTATTGCCACGTTTAGGTCTCTAATCAAGTGACCAGAGAGATTGAAGTGTTCTCCAACTGGTTTTTGAATGTTATAATTCTTGACATCTGATTTGTGTCAGTTTTATTCTTTTACGTAGAGACTGTCCCTCTGCCATGTCCAGTTGGAGAACACTTCAATCTCCCTGGTCACTCGATTACAGACCTAAAGTGGCAATACTACAACAAAAAAACCCTTCAAAACCAGACTCCAACAAGAAACTGCTGAATTGGAATTAATTTGCAAACTGGACACCATTTAAATTAGGCTTGAATAAAGACTGGAAGTGGATGGGTCATTACACAAAGTAAAACTATTTTCCCATGCAAATTTTTCCCCTACTATTACTCACACCTTCTTGTGAACTGTTGGAAATGGGCCATCCTGATTATCACTACAAAAGGTGTTTTTTTTGTTTTTTTTCTCCTGCTGATAAAGCTCACCTTAACTGATCACTCTCATTATAGTGAGTATGGCAACACCCGTTTTTTCCATGGGGGGTGTGTGTGTGTCTGTATGTAATCTTCCTACGTTATTTTCCACTGCATGCATCTGATGAAGTGGGTTTTAGCCCACGAAAGCTTATGCTCAAATAAATTGTTAGTCTCTAAGGTGCCACAGGTGGTACTCGTTCTTTTTACTGATACATACTAACACGGCTACCACTCAGAAACCTGTCAAAAATTTTGTCATTCAGGTTCCAGTGTTGGCAAAGCCTAACTTAAATTTTGCTCTGATTCTGAGTGTAAAAATTGTCAGTCTTGTACACATGGTTGATCATCTATTGCCTTACATCTTGTAGCTACTTACATCTGTACAAAGTGGGTGTAAATCAGAGTGGCAGCATTTTACAGTTATTTTGCACGGGTCTAAACAACTAGACAAAGTGCAAAGCAGTAGAGAATCAAGCCCTACTTTTCTTAATCCTTAAAAGTGTGTTTTCAGAAATAGAACAATACTGTGTTTTGTTAATTAGCATCATTCAAACTATTTTCAGTCATTTTCTAAATAGCTTTTCCATATGTGCGTGGAAGGAAAAAACTTCCCATTATGTTAGTCGCGTTAGTGGGATGAGTCTCTTTTTGTTCATGAAAAAGAAAAGGAGTACTTGTGGCACCTTAGAGACTAACTGATTTATTTGAGCATAAGCTTTCGTAAGTGAGCTGTAGCTCACGAAAGCTTATGCTCAAATAAATTGGTTAGTCTCTAAGGTGCCACAAGTACTCCTTTTCTTTTTGCAAATACAGACTAACACAGCTGTTGCTCTGAAACCTGTCTTTTTGTTCATGGGATTTTTTTCAGTAGGTTGACAATTGAAATCCAACATTGCTGCTTCTTTCTCCCCAGTAACTGCGTAGATAGTGACATTGGATTAAATAGTTTTTTATATTTATAACAAAATCACTTTTTACCAATTTCCCACAAGAGGCTGAAGTGCATGGAAAAAACACTGAAAACCTTTTGGCTTTATGAACACATGAGAGAATAATCTTTGTTCTACGACTACGATGCCAAAAATAGAAAAAATTCAGAAGCATGAAGCATTCTCCTCAATTATTTTTTATTAAAACTTAGCTTCCTAGAGGAAGCCTGTCTTTAACGATTCTGTTTAACTGAAGAATAGGAGGTTCCCATTTTACATAATTGGCCTTTAGTACGTCTGGCACAAGTATTCAGATTTAGCCTTTTCAATTAAGTTTGTGACATCTGAAAACCGTGCTTCTGGCACAGCTGATAATTTCCATTCAGAAGAAGGCTAAGAATGAACAGAAAGTTTTTACTTAAAATTAAATGTCTCTTGGGAAGTGGCTACTCATCAAGTTGAGTATGAAGTAGTGTGGGAAAGGTGGAGTTTTTTGTTTTTCTCTCAGAAAAAAAGACTCCAGTTTCCAGTTTTTCTATGGAAACCATCTCCATTACAACTGAATATATAAGGCAGAGAATGAGAACAAACTATCCTGTTTACCTGAAAGCTGTTTAAAATTATGTTGGCTCAGCCTTTGGAATTTATACTTCTGAGTGATTCCCAGAAAATCTTTGCTGCTTCCTGCAGCTTAACAATTGTACAAGGTTTAAAACATGAAACTACACAAATGTTGATGTAGTTGAGACTTATGACAACTGTTGATGATTTTTTTCTCTAAGGAGACATAGGTGTGTTTCTCTGTTTAACTTGTCTTTATCTCTGTTTTTCAGATAATCGTAGGAGAAGCCCTGTCTGTCTATTATAACCATTTGCACTCGAATTCGTTTGTCGGAAATAACTACATAGCCACTATTTACAAAGCCATTGGGACCTTCATTTTTGGTGCAGCAGCGAGCCAGTCCCTGACGGACATTGCCAAGTATTCCATAGGTAGACTACGTCCCCACTTCCTGGCTATATGCCAGCCGGATTGGGCACGAGTTAACTGCAGTTTAGGTTACATTGAAAACTTCCCATGTCAAGGAGACAAAGTAAAAGTTAATGAGGGAAGGTGAGTAACCTACTGTACTTTGGTCTTGATGTTACCTTGTATTGTAAATCCCTGGAGACAATGAGGGTTTGATGGGTTGATTTCTCCTATTACATGCTCCATGAGTCCATTGGAATGGATTTAGTGATCTAATAGACATACAGTGAACCTCCAAGGCACATGCTCGGGCACTAGACTATCTTCCTTTTATCTCTCCTCCTCTTCCCCTAAACCCAGGGGTGAAAGTAAGGGGGTACGGGCTGGTACGACGTACTGGTAAAAGATAGCTGCTAGGACCGGCCCGTACCGCTGACTTTAAAGCGCTGCTGCACCAGCACTTTAACTTCACTGCCCCTTTTGCGCCCCTGCTGGGTTCCTACCAGCAGGGTTGCCAATGGGGGGCCCAAAAGGGGCAGTGACGACCCAGCTGGGAGGTGCAAAAAGGGCAGCGATGTTAAAAAGCTGCTGCGGTAGCACTTTAATATCGCTGCCCCTCCTCCCCCCCCCCCCCCGGCCGCTGACGGTGGGGGGGAGAAGGGGCAAAAGAAATAGCTGCCCCAGGGCCACGATTTAAAAGGGCCTGGGGCTCCGGCCACCTCTACCGCTACCGCGGCTGCGCTGGCCGGAGCCCCAGACCCTTTTAAATCTCTACTGGAGCCACAGGTGGCACGGGATGCTGACCCCCAGCCCCACCCCTTCCGCCCGAGGCCTCGCTCCTTTCTGGGGGGGCCAGAGCGGTCCCGTACTGGTAAAATCTGCATTTTGCTTTCACCCCTCCCTAAACCCATACATTTATTCTTTATAAGCTATAGGAATAGGACTTCAGTTTGTACACAAACGTCTGTCTTTAATTGTGTTTCCTTCATCAATTTTGGGTGACCAGAAATGTGCACCAGCCCTTTAAATTGGCAGTTTTGGGGCAGTCAAATAAGATCCGTTTGGAAAGGAAACTACTGTATATTCTTCCTGAGTGAATAACTAAGTCTGAAAGCTGCCTTCCCAAGCTTTTCGGGGAGGTGGACTTTGAGAAAGGGAGAGAAATTGATTCATATTTAAAATAGAAGAATAAGTTAATCAAAAACAGATGTATCTGTATAAAATATGCAACAGTCAAGAGTATATTGTTGTGCATTTTGTCCATTATCAAGCCCAAATAACTCTTTTTAACAAACATTTAAACAGTGGAAAAAGAGGTGAAAAGAGAAACAAATTAATAGAAACAGATGTCCTGTGACATGCTTCAAAAGTGACCCGTATTTGTTCCCCCTCCTCCCAGTGTCCTGTAATCTGACATCTGTCTGAGGAATGTCCTCAAAAATAGCAAATAATGTTAAGTGTTGAAATTTTAGACTTAGTTTGAAGTATTTTTCAGAATAAACAATCCTGGTATTAAAATGGCTCAAACTCCCAGCAAGTCCTTCTTGTTCTATATACTTGGAATGATTGCAGTTAGGGAACTTTACCAACTGACTTCTCTTTTTTTAAAAAACAACAAAAAAAACCCAAAAACCTGGAAACTTTTTTAATAGGGGAGAATTTCTTCACAGATTGAAGAATTTCTACATCTCTTTAGTTCCATCATTCCACTTCTGCATTAGCCAGCTTTCCCAAAATCTCAGTCCCCTTCAGAGCTCTTATAATACCCATATGGTCCCCTTACAACTGGGGAAAAGTGTAGTGACTTGAATACATTTGGGACCATGTTCTGTCCTTTGACACATGCACCACATCCATTAAAGTCCCTGGAAGCTGTATGTACATTAGATAATAGTACTTGATCCCTGACTTGGAAAATTGTTTTTGTCTATAATAAATTTTGTTTGTAATAGTATGAACAGCACTTCATTAAATACATACTCCATAGATAAACCACAGCTTACTCTGTTGAGTGAGTTGTAGAGTAGATGACTTTTTTGCTTTATATTCAGGGCTGTTTTTTTTCTGATTGATTATATTGTGGCCAAAGACCATCTTCATTCAGTTTGCTTAAGCTCATCCGGGCCATAATTCTTGGACAGGCTTATCTCCTGTGAGATAACTTTGTTTAGACCTAATACCCATTCTTAAACCATTCTAATCGCCTTCTATGATGAGATTACTGGTTCTGTGGATGAAGGGAAAGCAGTGGATGTATTGTTTCTTGACTTTAGCAAAGCTTTTGACACGGTCTCCCACAGTATTCTTGTCAGCAAGTTAAGGAAGTATGGGCTGGATGAATGCACTACAAGGTGGGTAGAAAGCTGGCTAGATTGTCGGGCTCAACGGGTAGTTATCAATGGCTCCATGTCTAGTTGGCAGCCGGTATCAAGTGGAGTGCCCCAAGGGTCGGTCCTGGGGCCGGTTTTGTTCAATATCTTCATAAATGATCTGGAGGATGGTGTGGATTGCACTCTCAGCAAATTTGCGGATGATACTAAACTGGGAGGAGTGGTAGATACGCTGGAGGGGAGGGATAGGATACAGAAGGACCTAGACAAATTGGAGGATTGGGCCAAAAGAAATCTGATGAGGTTCAATAAGGATAAGTGCAGGGTCCTGCACTTAGGACGGAAGAACCCAATGCACAGCTACAGACTAGGGACCGAATGGCTAGGCAGCAGTTCTGCGGAAAAGGACCTAGGGGTGACAGTGGATGAGAAGCTGGATATGAGTCAGCAGTGTGCCCTTGTTGCCAAGAAGGCCAATGGCATTTTGGGATGTATAAGTAGGGGCATAGCGAGCAGATCGAGGGACGTGATCGTTCCCCTCTATTCGACATTGGTGAGGCCTCATCTGGAGTACTGTGTCCAGTTTTGGGCCCCACATTTCAAGAAGGATGTGGATAAATTGGAGAGAGTCCAGCGAAGGGCAACAAAAATGATTAGGGGTCTGGAACACATGAGTTATGAGGAGAGGCTGAGGGAGCTGGGATTGTTTAGCCTGCAGAAGAGAAGAATGAGGGGGGATTTGATAGCTGCTTTCAACTACCTGAAAGGGGGTTCCAAAGAGGATGGCTCTAGACTGTTCTCAGTGGTAGCAGATGACAGGACAAGGAGTAATGGTCTCAAGTTGCAGTTGGGGAGGTTTAGGTTGGATATTAGGAAAAACTTTTTCACTAAGAGGGTGGTGAAACACTGGAATGCGTTACCTAGGGAGGTGGTAGAATCTCCTTCCTTAGAGGTTTTTAAGGTCAGGCTTGACAAAGCCCTGGCTGGGATGATTTAACTGGGAATTGGTCCTGCTTAGAATATCAGGGTTGGAAGGGACCTCAGGAGGTCATCTAGTCCAACCCCCTGCTCAAAGCAGGACCAATCCCCAACTAAATCATCCTAGCCAGGGCTTTGTCAAGCCTGACCTTAAAAATATCTAAGGAAGGAGATTCCACCACCTCCCTAGGTAACGCATTCCAGTGTTTCACCACCCTCCTAGTGAAAAAGTTTTTCCTAATATCCAACCTAAACCTCCCCAACTGCAACTTGAGACCATTACTCCTTGTCCTGTCATCTGCTACCACTGAGAACAGTCTAGAGCCATCCTCTTTGGAACCCCTTTTCAAGTAATTGAAAGCAGCTATCAAATCCCCCCTCATTCTTCTCTTCTGCAGACTAAACAATCCCAGTTCTCTCAGCCTCTCCTCATAAGTCATGTGTTCCAGTCCCCTAATAATTTTTGTTGCCCTCCACTGGACTCTTTCCAATTTTTCCACATCCTTCTTGTAGTGTGGGGCCCAAAACTGGACACAGTTCTCCAGATGAGGCCTCACCAATGTCGAATAGAGGGGAACGATTACGTCTCTTGATCTGCTGGCAATGCCCCTACTTATACATCCCAAAATGCCATTGGCCTTCTTGGTGATTAGACACACAAACATAGCCATTCAAATTAACAGTGGAAATTTGCTACTGTATGATCTAGCTAAGTGAGTGACTGAAATATGAAGTCTTGGGGCCGTCTGTGCTTGTGAAGTTTGTGGTTGTGGTGTGGGTGGAACCTGAAAGCCTTGGTGTGTGCAAAGGCCAGATACTTCAGACAGCTGAACTGAAAAATGTGTTTTCTTATGGAGCCCAAAATATACTCCAGCTATAAAATACACCTGACGTATATATTTAGTGAGACACTCCTTCTAAGCATTTTCCATTTCAAAGTATTCATAACTAGCTTGTTGAAAGATAATGGAAAATAGAGAAGACTAAAAGTTTTTAATAGTGTAATCCATTCAGTATTCCAAGTACTAAGTCTTAGTGACTGTCATAAACATACATAATATCAGAATCCAGTATATTTCTTTTGGACCTCTAGCTGTTTGAGGACATTAGATGTAGTATGTGGATGCAACCTATTGCATCTGCCTTGGTACCTCATACTATTGATCTAACAATGCTCATTAAGTGGAGTTTTAAAGAAAACTTCCTAAAGCTATGCTGTCCATAACTGCCATTATTTTTTTCTATTTTTCAGACTTTTTTGCCATATTTTATTAGGCATAAGGGCCCAGTAGGGTTAGAAGTATTGTAAAATGTATAATTTCTCTTTGGGGGGAGAAGGGGAGAGAATAATCTCTGTAGACAAAAACCCATTTATCAAATAGTCTGAATGTCCTTTCACTGACTTTGGATTGTGCCTTTCCAGGACTGAAAAAAGATGTAACTGCATGTTGAAATCTTGTCCATACTTACAGGTCTCTAGTGTTAAAAGTTTAAAAGTCTTTAAAACCACATGGAGTCCCACATCTCCCTTTGGCTTAAACATCTGTTTGTTCTAAAACTCTGCTTGAATGCAAACGTTTCCAGGAAGCTAATACAGTATACAAGTCTAATAATACAAATCTATCCAATGGAGTCTTTATTTACAAAGTATGTGTGTATTTTTAGCGCATTTAAAACAACAATATTGTTTCTCTTGCATAGAAAACTTAGTTCTGTAGCTCTTCTACTTTAAAAAAAAAAAGTAATCGTAGCTTTTTTTAGTGTTTTACAGTTCTGACATTCAATAAATAGAACTAATAAAACCAAAAGTTGTACTTCCTCCCCTTCTAGTTACAA